CACCTAATAAACCAAGAGAAAATGCCCACCAATATTCCTAAAATAATTACAAATTATGTTACAACAAGTAAGTGGACATAAAGTCTGTGAAACAAGTCCACTAAGAAAGGAAATGGACTTTCTGTTAATATAGGCATTTAACACGATACATATTCTAAACTAAATCTACGCACGTTAGTTCTTTCTTCATATGTAAGACTTCTTATATAATTGAAAAACATTTTTATAAAATCATTTTACATAAAAAGCGAGCTTTCGATACTTCAATGTGATCATCAGGCTGATATGACTGTTGACTTAGAGGAGAGATGATTGTCTATACTAATTGAAATAGGAGAGAACGAAAACAGTCACTCAATTCTATACCAGATATTTTTCTATTTTAAGTTTTTCTAATGCTTTCGTTCTTCCCTGTTTCAACTAGTATAGATAATCATCTCTCTTCTAAATTCTTCAGTCATATTAGCCTGTTAATGATACCGTGAAGTATTGAAAGGTCACTTTTTATGTAAAACGATTTTACAAAAATGTTTCCAATTATATTAAACGTGTTTAGTTTTAGGAAAAACGTAAAAAAGTCAAAGAATGTCAATACGTGAGACTTCTTTTTATATGTGTTATTTCAAATAAACAACCAGTTTTTCTTACTTTAACTGATTGTGTGAATGTTCTAATATTTTCTTCGTTTAATAACGTATTTTTCAGTCGTGTTAATGGTCCATCAGCATCAACTGCTCGACATTTCTCGAATACATCGCAGGAACCAGTGGTTCCAGCACATACATGACCTACAGCACGATGATTGCTTTCAATAAAAGAACTCTCTATTTTATTCTTCTACCACCACTAACCTGATCGATGTTTGTATCCTAAACCACCTATTGTCGCATTATTCCGCATACCAAGTGTTAACGTATCAACACACGTATTTGTTCGCGCTGAAAAAAATAGAAGAAACACCTTCGCTGCCATAGTATAAAAAAAGAAAGACATTTTTTCATTCATTACCATCGAGACGTCAATATGGCATAAATATTCACGATTGATACCACGTTGTCGAAGAGGTTCAGCAACATTTGAAATGGTCAGAGTGCACTCTGTTCGATTAATTAAAGTACAAATCGACTTTATACATTGCTAAAAAAAACAGAACAAACCAAGGAATAGGATATTGGCAGAGATAAAAGCATTCCAGAATTAGAATGCAAAAAGACAGAATTCTATAATTATTTCAACTAGTTTTCAATCTAATTTGTCGTTACACGCAGTCACGTATGTTAATTAGCGCCCAATATATCCAAGAACATTCCCCAAGACTAACTTAATGTATTTGCACTGAAGTACAACTTTAAGCTCTGATTTGTGATTTTTAATTTATGGATGGAACAATCTCAAAAAATCATCTAAAAAACACGCACCCCTTTTTCGCATAACGCTGTGTTCTGATTGTACGGTGTATTCTCTGATTTGAAAATTTTGTATCATTCATTGGACAAGTTGCGCGGATACCACTAGAAAAAGTCATCAAATTTATTTAGTTCGGATTGAAATGGAAATGTTTTTTTCTTATTTCAATCAAAGTTAGGCTACTATAGTTTTCTGAAAATCGGGTTTTGCTTTTAGAAGACTCGCCTCAAGTCTTGGCTATCGGGTGATGAAAAGCGCAAGTCTCTATCTTTATTTGATGCTGAGTTATTCAAGAAATAACCGCTGCTCTTGTATTTTGGAACTGATAGTAGTTTCTAATACAGAATATGGTTAAATTGATAAAATGGAGTACATGATATGTTAAAGCAGTTTGGAACATTTTTAGTAAGTTATGAATTATTTAATTTGCGATGCAAATGGTGGAAATGGATTATTACCACAAGTCTCTATCTTCACTAATTTGAAACTAAATTAATTTGAATTAGTGCTTTTTCAAATTACTTTAACTCAGTTTAGTAATAAATCAATTTGCACTAATCTGAAAAAAAAATCAATTCAACACAATTTTCAGTTTAAAATTAACCTGAATTAATTTTTTCAGGCTTGTCGTAGTTAATGTCCTACCAAATTAATTTATAATTTTAGAGTAGTTTAAATTGGTTTGAAAAAGCATTAATTAAAAATAATTTTAAATTAAAAATTCGTTAGAACTAATTTAGATTCAAACTGATTTAAATCGATTTACATGGGAAATAGTTTACATTAACGTTTGATTAAAAATTAATTTATACTAATTTGAGACTAAATTAGTCGAAACTACTTGATGAAAATTTCAATATTTTTTTCAAAAAAAGAAAAACCTGAAAATCCCCATAGTGTATCTGATAGTTAGAGGCTAAGTTTCCCGTAGCAACTTTTGTGCGGGGATTCCAGTGGCAGTCTCAGAAATTCCTGAAACTGTTTCTAAATCGAAATAAGTACCTATTTTCGTTTCGAAAAACTTGAAATTAATTTACATTAATTTTGGGTACAGAAAGTCGTACAGATTAATTTTGTATTTGAAATTAATTTTAGTAAATATTTTCTAAATCAATTTAAATGAATTAGCTATTACAATTGATTTAAATTAATTTATGAACAGAAATTAATAGAAATTAATTTTGTTTAAAGCACTTCAAACAACTTTGAGTCTATAAATTAATTTAAACTAATTTTCAATATCAAACTGATGTATTATTTTTCGACCAAAATTCAAATGACCAAATATTTAATCAGCGATACGTAGTTCTGTAACTGATTCACTTATTTTTAATCCCGATGAAAATTAGTCTCTTGTAGTCTACACGGTACAACTGAAAAACAAAAAACGACTGAAAATCCCGTCCTCACATACTTTTTAAGGTAGATCCTAAACGAATGTTCGCCCTTTAACATAGATCGTTATAAATCGTTATAATCTTCTTTTCGTCATAGGTTTATAGCTATTAACCAGTTAAAATCGATCTGATGCATAGTATTCATGTTGCCTAAAGCAATTTAAGTAAAACATTTGACTCTCTCATGCTGATCTGCTTTATAAACTGAAGCAAAAAGGCATATTGGACAACATGTTAAAGTGGTTTGAATCGTACCTTAGTGCAAGAACTATCGTTACCATGGTCAACGGAAAAACTTCCACTGTCCGAATGCTGAATCGAGAAGTGCTCCACTCTTCAGGCCTCTCCTCTTTCGTATTTTTATTGATGATATAGTTCTGAATCTGCAATCCATATATCGGTTGTTTGCGGATGATGCATTATTTCATACATAGCATCCATCTTTAATAGCGGCTATTAACTTTTAAATTCCGGTCTAGAAATAACATATGAAAGGTCTACTTTCTGGCAACTTTATGTAAATATGAAAAACTGTAAATCTATAACGTTTTGAAAAAGAACAGTAAACACTACGCTAAATCCAGTTTTTATTCATAACACACAGTGGGCATTTTTTGCTAGAGCAGGCGGACTTTAGCTTTATGAGTGAACTACAATTTCATGAACCATTTTTTATAGATTTTTCATGATCCTCTTTCTAATGGCATGAGGGTTGGATTTTGAAAAAGTTTTCTAAGGAGTTTTGCAGAGATTCAGTCTCTGGAAAACTCTTGAGAAAACTTTCTCAATACTTAAAAACGATGTCACTGGAAAGAGCATTGTCCAAAACCTATAAGAAACATGTTTCGAGTCGTTCACGTTACTTTATCTTGAAATTCAAATTTTAAGCACGAAATTGTTTGTGTGAATCTCAAAAACTAAGAAATTTATGGAATTCAAAAT